TTAAATTGTCATTTACAAATGAAAAGCTCTTCGTTAAGATAAATAATTTATGAATAGTTTATATGTAAGATGAAATATCCATGAAATAAGTAAGTTGAATAAGTAAAGTAATACCATTCTTATCACAGTGAAGTAGTCATTAAGAATATATATGTGGAAAATGTAAGACAGCAAATAAATGTTAAAACAAAATTTCAAGACAGCAGAATTCTAATTAGAATTAAAAAATATATAAAGTTAAAAGTAAAAGCACTTATGAAATAAATGGAACAAATGAATTATATATTTTATAACTTAATTGTAATAAGAATATGAAAAAACTGTAGTAAAATAACAGAAATCAATTATGGAAGCAAGTGAAAGTATAAGGCTTTTTGGATATTTAGATGCTAGAATCTGTACTACTGCTCTGATTTGCAATCGTTAAGCAACTATTGTTCTGAAAACTTGAGATTTTGGATTTTTTTTTCCCAAAAAAGTTAGGAAAACAACCAACTTAGGCAACTGTGGAGAAAGTTTTAAGCAACAAGTGTAATTAAGTTAAGGCTGATGCACACTTTCTCTCTTTTATCATAAATCGTCCAGATAAGAACTTAGGCTGTGCAGCAAGCTTGTTTGCACACTCTTCTATAACTCCACAGGAAGAATTTAAATTGATAAACAAAAACATAGTAATTAACATACAACAAAGCCAATAGCAAGTATTGTTCAGCATACATTAGAATAAGAACATCAAGTTATTCAAAAAACTATTCCTTCAATAATCAAGGTATTCACATAGCCAAATACTTCATTATAATAAGTGAGCAAAATTTTCATAAATAAATTTATATTTCATAATTTCACCTAAAGTCATATTTGTAATACTATGTTAAACTCTGCTTGTCGAATATTCGTAAAACAGTCCACAAAATTTTCTAAAATAAGTAACAAGAAATAATTAATAAAAACTCACATCACATGGTGATTGATCTCGAACTTTGATATGACAGCAATGCTTTAAAAAAAAAAAAAAAACTACATATTTATTGCTGCAATGGAATTTATTTATTGTGCTCTTTGCATTGGTCCGGTATAGGATCTAGTGCATCACAAAGATTCTTTTTCAGATCGTAGAATGCATCACTTGAGCGTATTTCGTTAATCATAATCCAAGGAACAAAATTCAGCGGTGGTTGCAAACGCTCTGTTTCTGCACCTGCTTTTGCCAGAAGTCTTCTTCCTTCTTTTCCTTCAGCGCATAGTAAGATACTGAAATATTCACAAGATAACAACGTATTGATATAGGCAGGAAAATTTCTAGGAATCATGAATACCTTAACAGCAGAAGACCAATCACTAAGAAATTTGATTACTCAATAATTCATATTTTCTTTGCAATAGCAAAAAAAGATGTGTTCGCTTTTTATCTTCTAAGCAAAAGTGCACTTGCACAAAAACACAACATCTTATTTTTGCATGCACATATATACACAGAATTATCTAAAAACTCAATGCTGAGTGTGCAGTTCTTCCATTTCTACACAAACAAATATACCAGAATCAAGGAAAATAATATCCTATCAATCATCCGCTAATATTAAAAATTCCATTCAACTTTTCAACTCATAGATTTCTGCTGAAATTAACCTTTTACTGGACATAAGAAGTTTCGACAAGCATTTTAATCCGGCTGAACGAAGATCACGCTTTCCTTGGATACAAGATATTACTGGAACATAGTAATGCGGATTTCTAACCATTTCAATTACGCAGTTCATAAGTTGATTTAATTCGCATTCTGCCGGCCCATGCTGACATTCACAACTAAAGCAATCATAAATATTCATAAGTTTTATTTAACAAAATTACCATTTAATGTAGACCTACTTGTTTATTTACTACTCACCTTTTTATATATCTTATGCAGCAAATATCCCTTCTACTAACATCACACAAATAAAAAAACCTCAAACAAAAAAGTCACGAGAAACAAAAAACTGTAAAAATAAAAGCCCAATTTACTGTCACTAATAAGGTTAAATCAAGTACCATGCGGGTAATGTATAGTGCATATATTAACAGTATCATTAACGTTATTCAAAAAACATATTTTGAAATTACCTATAGTCACTATCGCCAACTGGGTCACATTTCGCTTTGCCGAAAGGTACAATTTTAAGCGAAATCCTATTTGTTACGGATAATTCTTGCCATGTAGATAAAAGTTGTCGGTGAACAAAGCGCGACGTATCCGGACACTGTGCTTCGATATATACCGCTAAATTTACTATGTTGTCAGTGGAGATTTCTGATGTTTGTAGTTCTGTTAACTGAAAGTGAAAACTTTGTTTCAAAAATTCGAAACTAGTTGGAAATGACTAATGATCAAATTCAGACCTGAGATCCTGCGTTACATACTCTGTGTATTGCAGTAAGGGAAATTTTTTAAAATTGCTGATTATTTTGACATAAATGAAAAATGATGTTGCTGAAGTTCATTAAATATCTGCACAACTCGAATCATATCAAGTACACATTTAAATTTTAACAGTTTATGTTGAAAAACAGGATGAAAGCAAAAAAGGAAGAACTCATTTCATACTTGATGAGCACTGTGTCTCAAAGGTCTAAAAATCGAGAAGTTAAGACTCAGGATATTGTACCGTTCATGAAAAAATTTTTCAAAGAAAGAAAAAAATATTGATAATCTCATATTCTCTCAACATGTCGATTACATTTGAATCAATTTTCCTTCAACAGAAGCATTCTATTATTTGACTTTGGAAGCAAAATTTGATTTGGAATGCCTTTCTTTTTAACAAATTTAGCTTCTGACTCTTCGAAGAAATTTGTTACAATTCCTTTCTCTACCAATCCCATTTTCTTTGTATCCAAAAGTTACAGTATTTCTCTAAGACTTGTTCAAATTTCAATATAATTACCGAAATTGCCAAATTTGAATGAGTTGTATGAAAGGCAAAACTAGTCCAGTCAATAGGTAACCGATATATAGCGATTAATTCAACTGCTGGCACAGAATATACCTTTAGTGTTTCAAACAAAATGATACAATGGTTAATAAGATACTGCTCAATAGAGAAGAAATAGTGATAACAGTTCCATTTATATGCTTGAATGTACTAGAAAATTGATTCTTGAGAAGGCAATGATTACCCCAGTCTAAGTTCTCTAAATTAGAAGCAAAAAAGACAACTATCAAACTTCATACCCACCATGTGGTATAACTCATCACAACACAGCAAATCTGCCATCATTAGAGACTTTTATATGCATATCTAAACATTAAATCGATGGACCACATAAAATAATTACGTTATTCTGGAAGTTTCAGACAAAAAGTAAAAAATGAGGTGTTCAGACATTTTGAAAAATCCAATGAATTTGGAAGCTCATCCCATCCTACTTAAATCTTAAATTCTAAGTTTTATATAAAAGTTGGCTTTTAACATGTAATAAGAAAAACCGATCCAACAGAATACTGATGCTGAGGTAATTTCCCTCAACAGACTAACAAAATATTGTTTATCCGAATGAATAAATTAGCAGGGAGACCCTAACAAAGAAAACGCATTTGTAAAGCAATAGGAATGATAGCATGACAGCAAGTTCAGGAAAATTACAGAAAAAGCAATAAGATATAAATTGAAAAACAATATCTAAAAACATTGGTTATTTAATATTTACGAATAAAATTTTCCTATTTTTTTCTTTAAATCCACTCGCAGACTAGATAAAAATTAAAATTTAGATACGCTTAATTTCAGAAAGTGTCTTCTAATTCTATATCTATACATTTGGTTTTTTTCACCTATTCAAATTAGAAGCATTAATTACAAAATTATAACCATTAAGTGTTGTAAAAACTGTGCATGAATCATTAATTATTAGGAAAAACAATGGTAGTACCTGCAAATATTAGTTGGCAGACAAACATTTAAAGGAAAAAGATAGGAGAAGTAAACGATGATAATCATTGAATAATATTGACTGTCATCAACAGAGCTATTTTTGCAGTTGAAAAATAGCTACCAGAGTGTAAGAAAATTTCTATTTTCTGAGTACATAAAGCAATCTTCATGTCTAATTTTATCTAATTTAACTGGCAATTTTTCTAAATAAAACTAGAAAGGAAATCTAAATTTCATTAGCAAATGCACATTAATTACATAGCAATATCGTTGAGAATCTTGAAAAAAGATATTAAACTAACCAAAATTGATCAAGATAAATGATGTACAAAGGCTTTGCATTCCTCATTTCTTTCTAATCGTCTCCTTTAGAAAAATTTCATGGATTTCCCTTCTTTCATGTTTATATTAAAAAACCGATTCATGTTGAATAATTATGACTGAAGTAGATCAATTATGATCAGTTTCTCATAATTCAATTCAAAAATATCAAAATAATCTACCATAAAAACTTGCTATGAACCTAAACCATTAAGTAAGTCATTTTCTTTATGAAGGAAAATGTGATCATTGAACTTGCTACATTTTTTTTTCAAGTTTAATACTCATCCGCTTTTCTTATTTACCCTTTCTTTTTTCCTCCATATAAAATTTAAAAAATAAATGGAGTCTTGTCAAAAAGTTCTATAAAAGTTTCGAAAGATAAGACCTTGGTTGACATTACTTTGAAACTAATTACAGCCTTGCCCACGCAATGGATTTGTCCTAGTCGGATAAAATGAATATCGATGAAGTAAAGCAAGGACAAAAATGATATATTTTGTGCGACATAGAAGCAACAGAAAAAATGTTACCTGATCTAATTTTAATTAAAAGAAATCCATCAACCGTAATTGCTTTTGAAGACAATCTATAAGCACCAAAAAAAGCCATTTTAAAGAATAATTTATTTGTAATAATATATTTACAACAAGCATCGAAAAAGCTATTTTAAGGAATAGTTAATAAGCGGTACTGATCAAAAATACCTGTGTGAGATCAATGTAATAAGAAAGCCATAGTATTTTTATTAGTCTCCTGTGATTATTCGTAACATCGGGTATGAACACTCTCTCTCGTATTTATCCATGCCGATATCATAATAAGGATTTTAAAAGGCTACTAGTCCAGCAAATTATTTAATAACTTAATTTGATCCATCTGCTTAATTAGTGAACCTTCGATGTTTAATTTATTACTAAGAAAGTTAAATTTACTAAAGATTTAAATATGTATATTTAACCAAAACTCTTTTTCAAATAATTTAACTTGTAATATTCTTGTTAAACATTATGCCTATATTTTCTTCATGAAACTGTAAATTCTCAATATTTCTGATTAACATATTCTTTAGTTCATATTTTATTCGTTCACAGGAACCAGATTTGAGTGTTTCAATAATCGCTAGAAATGTCTCCAAATTTCTATATTTCAGCATGAATAGAAATAGCTATAATTTCGTTGCCTGTCACTTCTCAAAAACGACTAAAATATTTTATGAACTTTATACAGACGAGAATAATTGGTGTCTCCAGCACCAATTTTGACAAGGATGTAAAAATCGACACAATTCGAATTTTAGTGTAATTTACATTAACTGAAAGACATGTAATCTACAGTAATTGAAATACATACAACACAAAAGTGCCTTAAAACTAAATCACAAATTCACTAAGAATTTGAAATTTTATTAACTTACATGTTTTTCTTCAACAGTACTCTTCGTCAACAGCAAAGTGAAGAACCACTGGTAACAGATAAAAATCAAAATAACACCCAGGAGAATGAAAAAATAACGACATTTGAAGCACAATAAATACCGCACCATACCCCTTATAACGCCATTCTTCAATTCTAAAACATAATAACTATTTGTTAGACGAGCAATATGTGAATGAATTGTATCCCACAAATACACCAAAATTGCGAAACTTTTATAAAATTTAACAAATATGGAAAACAAGCAAAAGTGCATTAGGTATTAATTTGATCAGTAGGGCGATATCTATGAGTTATGAAAAAGGACAAATCAAATTGGGAAGGTTGCATATAAATATTGCCCTTTTCGTTGTTCCGAACAAAAACCATAGCTTTAAGCTTCAAAAGATCGTTCATTCACAATGAAAACAAGTGACTTATATAAAGCGGAAAAACGACAAAGCAAAATTATCAGATGTGTTTCTGGAGATAAAAATTGCAAAGTAGCTCCAATGGAGAAAGCTTTGTTATTTTCTGAATTCAAGAGTCACAAATAAATGATGAGAAAAATCAATAAATCAACAAAACATTTGAATTTACAGATTTCCCTATAATTGATACAAATATTTAAAGAAAAGCTACTTACCCATTTCCGAAAAAAATTCTTTCAATACTAGCACATATATAAATTCCTAATTCGGAATTCGTTCCGTTTATCCAATGCGTATTAGAGTATGCTAAAGTGAAAAATTAAAAAAACAATTTGCTAAATTTGAAAGATAATGCGATTTGCGATCTCAAGAGAATTCACTCTAAAGAACCGAAGTTCACTAATGTTCGATAATATTAATATTTACTAGTTTATCTAATTCATCATATCATTTCTAGTCATTGTCTACTATCATTTAACTAATACTGGTGAATGTCTAATTGTCCATTATCAAAATGATGTGAAAAGTATTATGAAAAATTTACCACAAACTACTGTCTATATATCACTATACATAAGATTCATGCTATTAATAACTAATTGTCAACAGATTATAACCTTTCAAAGGTAGTAATTTTTGACAAACATTAAAATAAACTAAAACACAGAAATAATTCGTCTGACCAAGCAGGTATTTCCGAAAGTCTTATTGAATAATTAATGCATTAATGCATAATAAACCACCGGCAATCTTAAAAAGAAAGAATGTATTTTACAATTGATCACTTAAAACATTATCATGCAAATGACAAAACAAAAAAAAAAAGGAATGTAATCAAAAAAACTGATAAAAAAAGCTGACTATAGTGGTAGAGAAGGCATCGAGTACGATTAATAGATTAATCGAGTATGATACAACCGGTTATAAAGACTTCCTCTTTAAGTTTACACACCATAAACCTACCAGACTGGTTTCTACATTATCCTATGATGATAGCCGAGAAGATACTTTTATTTACTGAATACCTTCGACATTATGTTTATTAAGCTAGATTTCCTTATTCTGATATCTGTTCCAGGTTAGTTATCAGATGATGAATATCTATTTCATATTCCTTTCACACATTCCTACTTTTTCAGTCCTACATTTCTTTCACTGATTTCTTATTATTTCGCATGAATTTCTGACAATCATATATAGCAAACTTTAAACAGTCCAATATATAACAATGTAAACGATGCAAAACATTACACATGTGAAATGAATAAAAATAAAATGAACAAACGAAAATGACAAAAGTTTATAAGGCAAAAATAGAAAAGGTAAATGTCGGTAATAAAAGAAGCTAAGAGGAAATGTATGAATATTTGTATTACTAATGCTCTCTTACTTTCTTCATTACATGATAGTTGAGCAAAGACATTTAAAAGTGAAGAGAAGAGAAGTATATGAAGCAGAGTTATCTTCTGTTATTTGATTATTTTTTAACAGATAAATTCAAGAAAAAAAGAACCCAATATAAATTACTAAATTTAAAAGAAAAAAAGTAAAAATAAAATTCAATGCACCGCAAAAATCTCTCATCCACACTCTCAATCTCTATTTTTCTTCCATACTTTGTGCTATTTCTCTATCATTCCTAGACTGGAAAGAAAATTCGCATACAAGAAGAGAATGAAAGAATAAAAATGGAAGAATGTTAGAAAATGAAAGTAATAAAGTGTTCAATCATGTAGTACATTGATTATTGGAAGAGGAAGAGAGTGAGCAATTATTTGATTTGTTAAGTAATTGAATTACAATTAATTCAATAACAAAAATAACTTGCCATATTCATACCGAAATATGACTGATTAGGAGAGGAAGCATACATAGCCAGAGAAAGAAAGATTAGCATTTACAAATGTTACCATCACTTCTTCGACCTCTCATCAAGAATGCATTATATGGGAAGTACATAATTACACACTTTTGCGAATCAGTTTCTAGCCAGTTTTCGTTGTATGACACATGCCGATTATAGAAGCATTATATCGAAGTATATTAAGTAAATTTGACCGAGCAGGTTTGAATTGATCTTTTTAATATTCATATTTACAGGTTTGATATCGATGCTATTTGTATTTTAGTAGTATTTTTTTTTTTTGTATAGTCATCTTATACTTTTAAATTTTAATTGCAGTAATTCACGAGTTTATTTGACTACGAATTTCACAATTATAATAGCGATATATCTTTTCTTTCAAAAATACTGTTGCCACAAAAAGAAGTGATCTCTTTTTGTTATTCTAAAATGCACATTATAAACTTCAGAGTGCTTCAGTTTGTAGAATTGTTTACATTGGCTTATATCGGCATTAGATTTAAATTTTAACTGCGTGTGTGGTATGATTTCCGCATTACATAATGTTTCAAATAGCCTGGATCAAGTTTGAATTTCAGACGACAAAAAAGACAATTTTGATGGCAGAGGCTAAAAATGAAACATTATGTGGTTTGCCAGATTCCTTTGATGATGGTAAGCTTTTTCTTTCTTCCATAGTTGACATTTGGCATGATTTTCCTTTACTTTTTCAGTGTTTCAAAAAGTATTTGTATATTTAGGCTAGATACGTTATTCTGGTTCAGTGTGTTATTTAAGAGTTTAAGTCCGATTCATTCTGGTATTTAAGAGTTTAAGTGGCTTAAATTTTATTTTCGGAACTTTGATTGGTTGATTTTGATTATTTTGATTATTTGAAAATTTTTGATTGTTTGATTAATTGACATAGAAGAAGACAAAAGTTTGAATTCCACCGAGTAACATGTACAACATTTTAGTGGCTGGATATTTGACATGTTTAATTCAACTCATTCCAAAACGATTTATTCTTTTAAGAATGACACACTAAAGAATGTTTATCCATAGTCCTTTAACGGAAAAACATAAATGATCCATAGCAAAATTACTCGAAGATTTCACTATCTGTGATGATTAGTCACTTACTTATCCAAGTAATGTAGGTGTAGATCAATTAACGCTTATTCAATTGATTATCTAAGAGTAGATCTGGAACGAAATGCTTTGATATCGGTAGATGATGAGTCTGATACATAGTTGTATTTTCGAACATCCATCATAAAGTAAAGACAGGATCCAAATAACTTAATTTTCTCATGATAGAGGGATATGATTTTTTTATCTCAACGTAATGCTTGATCATATTCTAGAATGCGCTAATATTGATATGAAATAGATAAACATCTGTTTAGTACTAATATTAACTTTCATTAAGCATTTCACTTTCAATCTTAAAATATCCACAAATTTTGGAAATTGTTTTAATTTCGTAAATTATAAACATTTATGTAAAAGTTGAGATTTTCTTTTAAAAAAATTCTGCTCTTTTCTTTCAGCTTTGCTCTTCGGGAGATTATTACCCCTTTGTGTTGAAATACAAATCGATAACCACTGCCATTCCTGCATCCATGAAACTCTTCCTTTATCGTTCCATTCGTTGTCTTCTTACTCCCATCAGAATTTGATCTGTAGGAGAAGGCAGTCTCTCGTACTGCATTGACTTTCCAGTTCCGTTCACCATCCAAATTTCGTTTACTCTAGCAGAAATGGTAAGGCGGTCAACAGTTCCAGTCACTTTTGCTCCAAGCTTATAAGACTGTCGACAGCTTCAGCTATTTTACTTGCTAGAAAACGCTGTTTTCTATAACTTAAACTATCTCATTTCCATTAAGGCACCTATTTTTTCTATTAACTTTAGCTCTGATGTTGAGAAGCGATTGCATCTGAGCATTGCCAATTCAAGTTGCCTGGGCTAATTACATGAGTCATTATCATTCTAATTTTGCTTCATCTTATCGTTGATCGGCATTATTATGCCAACAAACTTCGTCGAACCTTAAATCTCCATATCAAAAAGAAGATTAAAAATGCGTCTTTGCCCACCTGTAGATGAAGACGATTCTCCAAATCCATCCAGCAGTGACCAAACAGCACCAGGTACCAAATCATCACTGAAGGATACAGGTGAACATGATAACGATGACAACTGCGACGGCAAAGGCAAACAGAGTAGTTCTGGTTCTTCTATCAAAAAAAGCCGCAATAACAAAGTCGAATGTCCAGCACCTGTTGTTAGTAATAATGATGTTATCGTCGTTGTGGAAGATCATTCTGACCAGATGGATGAGTCCGATATGGATTTGGATTTGGTAGTACGAGATGAATGCAACGAAACGCATGGTATTTTTGCATCATATTTATCTATTCTAGTAGTTTCTAAATGCATATCAGATTC